TATAACACCTGAGGTACTGTTCCAACGTTTGGTTGGTCCGCTCAGTCTGCCCATTCGTTTGCGGGTGGTATGCTGAGGAAAAAGACAGTTTTAATTTCCAACATTTCGCACAGGGCTCTCCAAAATTTTGAAGTAAATTGGACTCCCCAATCCGATACTAAGTTCCTAAGAACTCCATGGAGCCTTACTACTTTTTTAATAAAGAGCTGTGCGGTCTCGGGGGGCAGAAGGTGTATTCTTAAGCGGCAAAAAGTAGGCCATCTTGGATAAGCGATCCACCACCACGAATATTGAGGTATGGCTTTGTCAAGGTGGCAGTTCCACAATAAAATCTATGGAGACCATACTCCACGGTCTGTCTAGTACGGGTAAGGGTCGTAGTAGGCCCCAAGCTTTACTCCAGGTAGACTTATGCCTGTTACAGATGGCACAGGTCTTTACGTATATTTCACAATCTTTGACCAAACTTGGCCACCAAAATGTGCGTTGAATCAGCTCTAATGTCTCACCTACTCCGAAGTGGCCCGCCAATGTGGCAGTAGCCCAAGACCAGGGTTCGAGCTTCGTCAGGAACCACGATCTGTTCCCCCTTCCATAGCAGCCCTTCTCTGCTTTGTACCGAGACTCTGGGTGGATTGGGGGCCCCTATTGATGCAGCTTGTAATTTCGACAGGAGTTTTGACGGTAAAAAGAAGAAATTACCTGCTGGCAGAATGGTATCGGGTTTAGGATTTTCCTTAGGATCCTCGAACATCTGTGACAGCGCGTCAGGTTTTGTGTTTTTAGATCCAGGTCGGTAGGTTATATGGAAGGTGAATCTTGAAAAAAAACAACGCCCATCTGGCCTGCCGTGGTCTAAGGCGCTTAGCCGTCCTTAGGTATTCTAAATTTTTGTGGTCTGTGTAGACCAAAATTGGGTGCAGGGCTCCTTCCAATAAGTATCTCCACTCTTCCAGTGCGGTTTTAATCACCAGGAGCTCCCGGTCCCCAATGTTGTAGTTCCTCTCCGCCGAGGTGAGCTTCCTAGAAAAGAAGGCTACTGGGTGCATGAGTTCTTTTCTTTGCGACAGGACTGCTCCTACTGCGTTCTTGGACGCATCTACCTCCAATATGTATGGCAGGGATGCATCTGGATGGCTTAAAATGGGGGATGCTGTGAACAACTTCTTCAGGGTCTCAAAAGCAACTTGTGCCTCTGGTGTCCAGTGAAAACGTACCCCCAGTTTTGTAAGTTGGGTGATAGGAGATACTAGGCCTGAGAAATTCTTTATGAACTTCTGATAGAAGTTTGCAAACCCAATAAACCGCTGAACGCCTTTTTTTATCTGCGGGTACTGGCCATTCCAGGATTGCGGAGATTTTCTGGGATCCATGGAAATTCCCGTGGTGGAGATGATTAGCCCCAGGAACTGGATACTGTGTTGCTCAAAGTTGCACTTCTCTGCCTTGGCATAAAGCCCGTGCTGGCGAAGTCGCTCCAGCATGCTCCTGACGTGACGTCGATGTGCCTCCAAAGATGGAGAAAAAAATCAGAATATCGTCAAGATAAACTACAACAAAGATGTCCAGATAATCTTTGAAAATGTAATTTATAAAATGTTGAAAGGTGGCCGGGGCATTGCACAATCCGAACGGCATAACCAGGTACTCAAAGTGCCCGAACCGGGTGCGAAAAGCTGTCTTCCACTCATCCCCTTCATGTATACGGACCAAGTTATAAGCGCCCCTGAGATCCAACTTTATAAAAATAGATGCCGCCTTCAATTGCTGGAACAATCCAGGGACTAGGGGAAGAGGATAGCGGTTTTTGACTGTAATTTTGTTCAGTTCCCGATAGTCAACACAGGGTCTCAGAGACTTGTCTTTCTTTTCCACGAAAAAGATTCTGGCACCAGCTGGTGACGTGGACGGGCGGATGAATCCCTTTTGGAGGCTCTCGTCGATGTATTCCTTCAATGCCCCCAACTCCCGTTCTGATAATGGGGAAATTCGGCCGAAAGGGATCTCCGACCCTGGAAGGAGATCAATTGGACAGTCATATACCCGATGCGGGGGAAGGATGTCTGCTCCCCGTGGACTAAAGATGTCAAGGTAGGAATGGTAGGCCGAAGGAATGGCTTAGGCCAATTCTTCGTCAGTGTTCACACAGCATAGGGACTGGGTGGCTACTGGTGTCCGGATGCAACAGTGCTCCTGGCAATAAGATGAACTGAACTGAACTGAAGTGATCCAGTCTTCCAGTTAATGTGAGGGTCATGGGCTCGTAGCCAAGGAAGCCCCAACATTACTGGGAAGAGAGGGGACGCGATGGCGTCCAGGCGGAGGAGTTCCTGATGATGAACAGCCACTGTAGTGCAGATCGGAGGGGTCTCTCGGTCTACCAACCCAGATTTTATCCGAGACCTGTCAGCCAAGAAGATATTCAAGCCTTGCTCTTTGGTCTGCAAGGGGATCTGTTGATGAGCTGCAAAGCCAAGATCAATAAAGCAGCTGCAGGCTCCCGAATCAATAATGGCCATCACTGGTACGGTTCTCCCGGGGAGCTGGAAAGAGATAGGCACAGCTAGGTGAGTTGCGTTATTCAGGCAGGTAGGAGACACAGCAGAAGCGACAGAGGCACACTTACTCATCTTCTCAGGGCAAGAGCGTACTATATGACCAGCTGCTCCACAGTATAGGCATAAAGTTGTTCAGCCGACGCCTCTGGCATTCTTCAAAAGTCAGAGAGGGCCGCATCAATCCGATCTGCATAGGTTCAGGCTCATCAGCCGGCTCCAGAGTTCGATGACCAACTGGGGGATTAGGCTGGAGCGGAACCCGAGGTAGCACCCATGTTGGTCTGGAACTAGGATTGGCCCTTTCTTGCCTATGTTCCCGCAGCCTGCGGTCGATTTGAATGGCCAAGGTGATCAAATCCTCCAGAGAGTCAAAAGGGAACGCCCACTCTGGCCAGCTCATCCTTAAGTGGGTCGGACAGGCCTAAAGGAAATTGGTGACGCAGGGTGGTGTCGTTCCACTGGGTGTCCCCACTCCAGCACCTGAATTCAGATGCATAATCTTCCGCTGCCCCGCGGCCTTATTGCAGGGTATGCAGAGCTGCCTCAGCAGAAAAATGCCTGCCTTGCCTTAAAAAATGAAGAGACCGAGTCTAGGTGCGAATGGCGATCCTCCATCAGATGGTGAGCCCAGCCTTGGGGTTCCCCCTGCAGCAAGGATATAACGTACCCCACTTTTACAGATTCTGAAGAAAAGGTCCGTGGCTGTAGGTCAAAATATAACAGGCAGGAATTCTGGAAGGCCCTGAACTTCCTCCGATCCCCATTAAAATGCGTTGGCACTCCAGGTTCTGGCGGGGGAATGGTGAACACTGCTCCAGCAGAAGATTCTGCAGGGCCCCAGCAGGAGGCGGATTAACTGGGGCTGATGGGGCTGTTGGCGTGGTTAGGGTCTGAATACATCCCTCCAGATGTGTGTACCCCTCTTGAAGTGTTTTAACAGCTTGGGTGAGTGCCGCCAGGTGTTGGCATATCTCGTCCAAGGGAGAGGGACCTCTTCCTGGCTCAGTCATGGCCATATGGTTCTGTCAGGAGCCAACTGGTGGTAGCCTCTAGCGACCCACAGGCCGGAATTCCCCAGGGCGCGGAGTCTAAGCCTCAGTCTGCTGGTTCACCAGAGCCCGTGATGGTGGGGATGGACTTGAAGCAGGCTGAGAAAAGGTCACGACCCCCGAGTACAACCAGCTGTGGTAGAGGTAGCCGCCAATGGCAAGTGGCAGGTGAGAGCCAGATGTGAAGAGGTAGTAGCGTAGTCAGACAGGCCGGATCGGTAACAGCGGAGGCAGACGGTACAGAGTTGCAGGCAAAAGGATAAACGGGTCACAGGCCAGGTTCAGCAACAGGAGGTCAGACAATCAGGATCAGGCAGAGAATAGTCAGGACAAGTCAAAGGTCAGAGCAGGAGGTGAGCAACAGGATCAGGGTCAGGCTGGGTTGGCAACAAGGCAATCACTGGGCAGAAACGAGCAGGAACACAGGAACAAGACCATACGGCAATTTGGAGATGCACAGGGCTGGTTTAAATAGTGCGCCCTGTGCTCTCATTGGGTACCAGGCGCGCGTCCGCAATCGCGAGTGAGCATGCGCGGCCGCCGCTGTTGCCGCGGTTGCCTATGCCCTAGTGCCCGCCGGCTAGTGTGCATCGGCATCTGCGCATACGCAGACCCGTGAGCCGCCGCGATCCCTGACAGCAACAAACCAGGTCTGTTTTTTCTTTAGCCCAGGTAAGATGCTTCTGACGTTGTTTGTTGTTCAAGAGCGGCTTGACAAGAGGAATACGACATTTGAAGCCCATGTCCAGGATCCGTCTGTGTGTGGTGGCTCTTGATGCACGGGCTCCAGCCTCAGTCCACTCCTTGTGAAAGTCCCCAACACTTTTGAATGGCCTTTTCCTGACAATCCTCTCCAGGCTGCGGTCATCCCTGCTGCTTGTGCACCTTTTTCTTCCACACTTTTCCCTTCCACATAACTTTCTATTAATGTGCTTTGATACAGCACTTTGGGAACATCCAACTTCTTTTGCATGGTGGTGTTTGACATTCTTGGTGAGGTTGGGAAAATTCGGGGTCTTGAGAAAGACAGGTTGCAGCGAAGGGCCTGGATAAGATAAAGGCGTGGAGGAATATCAGGTCTGTAGCTGCGGCCTGTTGATCTCTGGGTGAGAATGCTGTTCTTTTTTCTTTCTCTTTGTGTTCCACTCCCTTCGATTTTGACGAAGAGTTTTTGAAGAGAGGCTACGTACATCTGAAGACCTGCGTTTCTTAGCCTTTGTTTCTGCATTTTATGTATTTTGTATGTTTTATGTACCGTATTTTCCTGGCGTATAAGACAACTGGGCGTATAAGACGACCCCCCTACTTTTCCTGTTAAAATATAGGGTTTGAGCTATACTCGCCGTATAAGACTACCCCTCTTCCAACGCACACCAAATAAAAATGAAAAAACATCAGATTTGATTTCAATATGGTATGCTATTTCAGTATGGTATTCCAATGATGGGGTGCTATTCCTCCCACTGACACCAATGATGAGGCACTACTTCTCCCACTGACACCAATGATGGGGCACTATTTCATCCACTGACACCAATGATGGGGCACTATTCCTCCCACTGATACCAATGATGGGACACTATTCCTCCCACTGACACCAATGATGGTGCCCCATCATTAGTGTCAGTGTGTGAGGAATAGTGCCCCATCATTAGTAAGTGGGAGGAATAGTGCCCCATCATTAGTCAGTGGGAGGAATAGTGCCCCATCATTGGTGTCAGTGGTAAGAATCGTGCCCCATCATTGGTGTCAGTGGGAGGAATAGTGTCCCATCATTGGTGTCAGTGGGAGGAATAGTGCTCCATCATTGGTGTCAGTGGGAGGAATAGCGGCCCATCATTGGTATCAGTGGGAGGAATAGCACCCCATCATTGGTATCAGTGGGAGGAATAGCACCCCATCATTGGTGTCAGTGGGAGGAATAGCGCCCCATCATTGGTGTCAGTGGGAGGAATAGCGCCCCATCATTGGTATCAGTGGCAGGAATTGCGCCCCATCATTGGTGTCAGTGGGAGGAATTGCGCCCCATAATTGGTGTCAGTCGGAGGAATTGCGCCCCATCATTGGTATCAGTGGGGAGAATAGTGCCCCATCGTTGGTGTCAGTGGGGAGAATAGTGCCCCATTGTTGGTGTCAGTGGGGAGGAGGAATAGTGCCCCATCATTGGTGTCAGTGGGGGAGGAATAGTGCCCCATCATTGGTATCAGTGGGGAGAATAGTGCCCCATCATTGGTGTCAGTGGGGAGGAGGAATAGTGCCCCATCATTGGTATCAGTGGGGAGAACAGTGCCTCATCATTGGTGTCAGTGGAGGAGAGACAGTGCCTCATCGTTGGTGTCAGTGGGGGGAGGAACAGTGCCTCATCGTTGGTGTCAGTGTGGAGGAGGAACAGTGCCTCATCGTTGGTGTCAGTGTGGAGGAGGAAGAGTGCCCCATCGTTAGTGTCAGTGGGGGAGAGGAGCGGCTGCTCCTTCTTCCAGTTCGGCCGCTCGATTTTCGCGGGGGCCGCTCGGCTCCGCCTCCTCCCCGGTGATTGGTCGCCTGTGTGCCTTTCCAGTGCTGGCGCCCAATCACCGGTGAGGAGGCGGAGCCGAGCGGCCGCGTGACCATCGAGCGGCCGAACTGAAAGAAGGAGCAGCCGCGCTTCCTGGACCGGATCGTCGTGGGACTGGAGCCAGGTAAGGTACAGCAGCCCCTCTGCCCACCCCTGTACTTCGTGTCCGTTGGAGGAGGAGGGGGGGCAGCGCCGTGCCACCCCTCGAAAAAGTGCCGCCCTGACACCGGCTCGCACTGGCGTATAAGACGACCCCCGACTTTTCAGAAGATTTTCAGGGGTTGAAAAGTCGTCTTATACGCCGGAAAATACGGTATATGGATATGTTATGGCCATATAGGCCTGAATATGTGTATGTTTTATTTTTGCAAGAAACCAGGCTCAGCAGTCTTGCTGATATTCATCTGGTGAAGAGGGAGTGGAGGAATGGTCCCTCTTTCTGGTTTCTTGCAGCCGAGCCTTACAGCGGAGTTGCGGTGTTTTTTACTGGCATGGTAACGTGTCGGCGGGTCATTGAGGTGGAGGTTGGAAGATGTATGGTCTTAGACGTCCTTGTGAAGGGGCAAGAGCTAAGGCTCATTAATATCTATGGTCCCCAGTCCAAGTGGAATAGGAAATGCCTCTTTACAAGGATTAAGCCTTTCCTTTTTACGTCCCAGCAGGTTGTCTTTGGAGGAGACTTTAATACTGTCACTAGGCTTAAGGTCAGGAAGCGCTCCAATGACAGGCTGGGGTATGACAGCGTTTTTCTAAATGCAATAGTTAGAGAAGCAGGTCTGGAGGATGCCTTAAGTAAGTGCAGCCCGGACATCACGGGTTTCACCTATAGGCGAGGTAGAAGCGAGAGTAGAATAGACAGGTTTTTTTTAAAGGGGGACTGCGCCTTCTCGGCACCCGTGTGTCAGGCGGTGGAGTTTTCCGACCACCTTTTGCTGAATGTGTCTTTAAATGTTTCAGTTGCACCACTGAAGGGGAGGGGTGTCTGGAGACTGAATTCGACTCTGCTGGACGATGAGGAGGTGAGACGATCCTTCAAGGATTTTTTTCAAGCTCAGGAGACCATCCTGGATTTCTGCAGCAGTAAGTCGGAGTGGTGGGAACTTACTAAAGTGCGGATTGGCCGGTTTTTCAAGGACCTAGCTAAGAAAAAACAGTTTGATAAGTACATTGCCTACCAACGGTTACGAAGGAAGCTCGATCGCCTTATTATGAGCAGTTCCAAATACCAGTCAATATTGGCACAAAACCTTCAGGCTACTGCTAGAAAGCTGAACATGAAGAGGAACTTCATCTTTCAGCATGACAATGACCCAAAGCATACATCCAAATCAACAAAGAAATGGCTTCACCAGAAGAAAATTAAAGATTTGGAATGGCCCAGCCAGAGCCCACACCTGAATCCGATGGAAAATCTGTGAGGTGATGTGAAGAGGGCTGTGCACAGGAGATGCCCTCACAATCTGACAGATTTGGAGTGATTTTGCAAAGAAGAGTGGGCAAATATTGCCAAGTCAAGATGTGCCATGCTGATAGACTCATACCCAAAAAGACTGAGTGCTGTAATAAAATCGAAAGGTGCTTCAACAAAGTATTAGATAAGGGTGTGTGCACACTTATGCACCCATATTATTTTATTTTTTTATTTTTTCTTCCCTCCACCTAAAAGATTTCAGTTTGCTGTTCAACTGAGTTGTACAGTTTTATAGGTCACATTAAAGGTGGAAAAAGTTCTTAAATAATTTATCTTTGTCTCATTTTTTACATCACAGAAACCTTACATAACAGGGGTCTGTAGACTTTTTATATCCACTGTATGTATGTATATATGTATATTTGTTATATTGTGTTCCAAGGTCCTCAAGTTGTTAACCCCTTATTAACTATTAGCGAACCCTTATGAAGCCTAAATAACTCCTACCTTACCTTCTTTAGTTACTATTTTTCTGCTGATTTTTTTTTCTACCAGTAACATTTAAACTTGATCTGTACTTGTGATTTTTTTCAGTGTTGCAAAAAAAAGTGCAAATAGCTGTGCCTAATATAATTTTTAGTGTCATAATATTTATAAATATGTTACATGTTTTTGTCTAAACATTTCTTCGAAAATACAATTTTTTGTAGGATAATGTCAAAAGCCAAAAGAGAGCCTTGTTAAAAAATGTGATGTATGTATTACTTCATTATTCTACTTTATGACAATGTTGCTGCTGAATAAACAGGCTCGTAGTAGAAATGTAAAAATTGCTTTAATCTATAAGTGGTATAACATGCAACATCAAATTTGGATAATTTCATCATATTTTATGACAGTGCACTTTTCTGTGCTTAGCTTAGATGTTTCACAGAAATGTCCTATTTTAGAATATGTATTTTTTTTTTAGTCAGAATCTAGCCCAGTTCTTGCCAAACTATTGTTAAAATGGGTAAAAAGGATTAAAGGACTGTGAGATTTTTTTTGTTGGTGATTCCTAATCAGGCTTGAAGTGTAGCTTTATTTAAAGTGACTCCATCATTAAACTTTTGAATGTTAAATGTTTTTAAATGTTACATTTTTGTAAGCTGTAACTGGCAGAAGAAGCTATTAAATACTTACCACGCTCTCTTTCCGCACCACTCAAAACCACTTTGATGAAATATTAAATAAAGGCAAAACTTTTCATTAGATTTGAAATGAGTGGTAAGTGGATAGGATTACTTTCAGGTCCTCACACCTGTCTGTGTCCACGTTAGGAAGATTAAAAATCTTTACTTGTCCTGATCACAAATGTCACTTGGAATGACAGTGAAGATAAAGGCAAAATTTTAAGTTGCCACCAGAACAGGAATAGTGGGGAAATTTTCCAATGTTCCCATGACAGCGATCTAAAAAGGGATAGCCCTCATATTGGAAAAATATTCTCTGACCTACTGTTGAGTGAAAGTGAAAAACATCTTCCTAACTAGACTCAAAAAAGAATCTGACAGCAGTTTTAATCCTCCTCTACTCTATCGAAAGTGAAAAAAATATGTTTTGGCTTTAACCAATTGAGCTCCTGAGGATTTACCCCCCTTAATGACCAGGCCTCTTTTTGCTACTTGGCGCTGCACTAATTCAACTGATAATTGCGCGGTCATGCAATGCTGCACCCAAACAAAATTTACGTCCTTTTTTTCACACAAATAGAGCTTTCTTTCGGTGGTATTTGATCATCTGTGCGCTTTTTATTTTTCACGCTATAAAAAAAAAATACCAAAAATTTTTAAGAAAAACAATATTTTTTACTTTCAGCTATAAAAAATATATAGTAAACTCAAAGTTGGTTATAAATTTAGGCCAAAATTTATTCTGCTACATGTTTTTGGTAAAAAAAATCCCAATAAGTGTATATTGATTGCTTTTTGTGGAAGTTATAGCATCTACAAACTATGGTATAAATACTGCAATTTACGCCATTTTTCTGCTATACAGCGCTGCGCTAGTTTAACGGACAATTGCGCGGTCATGCAATATGAAATTTACATCTTTTTTTTCCCCACAAATTGAGCTTTCTTTCGGTGGTATTTGATCGCCTGTGCGGTTTTTATTTTTTGCGCTATAAAAAAAAAGGCTGACAATTTTGAGGAAAAAAAACAATATTTTGGACTTTTTGCTATAAAACATGTCCAGTAAAAAAAAAAAATGCAAAAATCAAATTTAGTCATAAATTTCTGCCAAAATGTACATGTCTTTGCTAAAAAAAAAACCCAATACGTGTAAATTAATTGGTTTACGTGAAAGTTATAGCGTTTACAAATGGCGGGAAAGATACTGGGATTTTTAGGGGTTTTTTTTATATTGATAATGGCGGCGATCAGCGAATTATGGTGGCGATCAGGGACTTATGGCAGCGACCAGCGACTTATGACGGGACTGCAGGACTGCGGCGGACATTTTGACATTGGGGGGTACTGACTTGGGGTCACTGACATCCCCAAAAACACTAAAACAGTGATCAGTGCAAAAAAAAAAAAAAACTGACACTGTACTAATGGCAATGGGGAGGAAGGGTTAACTTTATTTAGCAGGGAAGGGTTATAGGAGTGAGGGGAGTGTTTTACTAGGGGGGGGGGGTGTGTGCTGGGCGGGACAAGGCTGATCGAGAAATAAAAACTGTTCTTTCTCGATCAGCTCATCCTCGAGCTGTCAGGGAAGTGACAGACTGCACAGCTACTGCAGCTGTGCTCTCTGTCACTGTTTGCCGCCGATCGCCGAGACATAGCCGCTAAGGAGCGACTGTGACCCGGCGACTGACATCTGCGGCAGAGAACCGCGGGACAAATAGGGCGGC